CCACATTTGAGGGGCCTAGAGGTCAACCTTTGCCCCCCGACCAACACTGACTGCGACCTGTCAGAGAGGTAAGAGGAGAAAATGGTGCCTCCCACTCCCACCTCCTCCATCGCAGAAGGATACCATGGTCGATGGCATCGAAGGCCGCTGAGAGGTCAAGAAGCACCAGGATAGAGGAGTGTCCTCTATCCCTAGCCCGCCAGAGATCATTGGTCAGTGCGACCAAAGCAGTTTCCGTGCTGTACCCAGGCCTGAAACCAGACTGAAAGGAGTCTAGATAATCCTCTTCATTCAAGGTCCGTCGGAGTTGAAGCGCCACCACCTTCTCAACAACCTTCCCCAGAAAAGGAATGTTGGAGACAGGATGGTAGTTTTTCAGGATAGCTGGGTCCAGGGAAGGCTTCTTGAGGAGGGGTCTTACCACTGCTTCCTTCAATGGTTGCGGGAAAGACCCCTCTTGCAAAAGATCCTGCAAATCTTTTGTTGCAATAAAAATAATGCAAGTTGTAATATGATTCTTAAATTAATTTGAGTCCAATTTTCAGTTCAGCATGATTGTGTTTCATGCAGAATATACTATTGTTCTGATAATTGCTTTAGATTTAAAATTATAAAGTGGTATTATAGTGCAAATTACCCTACAATGTTTTGCTTTGAGAAAGATACTTATAAAATATCCTATTTTTCTTTTTCTTTTTTTAATTCAGGCATTGGAAAAATATTGCAGAGTAGATGGTGGTTATTCTGGCCTTAGGGATGTTTACAGCAGTCGTAAAAGCCATGATGATGTGCAACAAAGTTTCTTCCTTTCAGAAACGCTCAAGTAAGCAATTGAACGGATTTTTAAATGAGTTATGAATTAATATTTTACTGGATTGAAGCAATAAGTAGCTGAAACTAGCCCTGTGGAAAGCAAACATACATTTGCTTTAACAAAGTAAGGTAGGTTGAAGAGGGAATCTGATTTACTTCAAAGTAGCAGAGGTCAGCTGAATCTCCTTGATGAGAAATATGTCAGATTATCTTGAATCACTGGGCAACCAGTGCTGTGGCAGGAAGCTTCTGCCAACCTTCTTGCCTAGCACTACCTTAATTGCTTCTAGACTAGGTGGTTTTGGATTATCTGTGGTGTTTTTTTAAGCTACCCAGCCTGGAAAATATTTGACCTGAAGACCTGTTTGAAGCTACAGAAGATGTATCTGAAACTATCCCCAGAAACAAAGAGAATATTGAAGAGTTGGAGATGGGGACTGGGGAATCAGGAGAAACAGCCATCAAATCCTAAACTAAGAGAAAGAAGCAGGACAGCAGATAAGCTCTGTGGTCCTGGAAGCAAGAAAATGTCTTAAGCACTATTACCCATGTCTAATCTGAGCAGATGTCAGATGTTGGTGTAATTGAGAAGAAATGAGATCTGCCTTTTCAGCCACAAATGTTTTAATAACTTTCAAAAGCTTGTCTTTTTGAATTATAATACTGTCTCTTGGGGGGAAACAGGAAAATATAAGAACAAATAGATAATCCCTGATTTATGACTAGTTGTTTAGTGACCATTCGAAATTACAACAACCTTGGAAAGGTGGTTTACAACCCATAGAGCACCTCCAGCTACATAAAATGTTGCACACATACCCTGCAGTTAAATGACTATGTTTCAAACACTTGGCTCCCATTTAAAACTGATTACAGCATCCTTCAGTCACATGTTTGCAATTTACAATATATATTTTTTCTATGTGCTGGTACTTTTTGCCAGTTTCCAGCAAAAAAAAACCACCCATTCAGGAGAATGGACTCAGACTTACACTATGTGTTTTGCTTAATGACCATATGATTCAGACTTATGGCTGCATGATTCACTTAACACCCACCTTAAAAAATTTAAATTAGGTCCTATCATATGGGTGCCTCAAATTACAACTGTTATGAATTATTACTGAAATTTTGGCCCCAATTGCAATCACAAGTTGAAGACTATGTTACTGAACAAATTCAATATATAAGAATACAATTTATGAAATATAACCAGATTGTTTTTAAGTGGAATAGCTGATATATTTCTAGTGGAAGTTTGATATTTCACAATGAAATACTAAGCAAATTCTTAATATAATACATTTTCATTATAAATAAAATAAATATGCTACGTACATATATTTATAGTTTTGTAATGTATTAATAATGCATTTTATTGTTCTTTACTAGGTACTTATATTTATTATTCTCTGAAGATGATATTCTTCCATTTGAACATTGGGTCTTTAACACGGAGGCACATCCTTTCCCAATTATTAAAAGAGGAAAAGAGGAAAAAGACAGCAAATAAAGCTGTTTTGAATTTTATTTGGGCATATTATATGGCTGTTAATGTTCTAGTTGGCATTTTTTAGTTTTAAACCAGGTTCTGTTTCATGTTTTGTTTCTTTCTTGTTTCGTTTCTTTGTTTGTTTTTGCAGTCTGCTATCAACCTGGCAATTTTTCTCAAGGAACCTAATATTATTAATTTTAATTATTAATTTTTATGTTTTCCCAGAACGTGTCATCTCTAGTTTTTGTTGACCATCAGTATAATGAGTACTTGGTCAAACAGAATACAGAATTCATCATGTTACTTACTTTTTACTTTATGTTTAGACTGCAAAATTGGTTCCTCCTCTGTGAGGAGATGTCTGCTTTAAGCTGTAATACTTTGCTGTGTTGCAAAAAGCCATAAAGAATTAAGTACGAAGAGCTTTTTTCTTTTTAAATCTGCTCCAGTGGGATTTGTCTGATCAGTGGAGACAAATCTAACTGTGACAGCCTCTTCTTATGCGGGTCTATCATTAATTGGTAATCAGAATACTTAGAAAGATGTACTATTCATATTAACCAGATATAGTTTTATCTTATCTGTATATACAATTACATTGAACTGTGGCTTGTCTTAGAAGCCTGGATTATGAAATCTTTTTCACATATTTACATATCAAGCCTAACCACAGATAACTTTCGTGCCCATCTATTTCTTTATCTCTGAATTTATTTCATAAACAACTGTGAAATTGGGTTGACATTTGGACATGGCTTCACAGATACTCTTTGAGACTACACAGTTCTCAAAGCCTGTCTTGGTGAAAATAGAAGTTCAGCAGTATTTTCACTGAAAGGAAAAATCTGTTTCCTGTAAAACTTTAGTAGTTATGCAAAATGAACTAATCTAATGTGCGATATCCTTTTTGTGCTTTGAGATTGGTTAGTCCAATTCTATAAGTCTCTAGTTATTATTTCCAACATTCCATTAGCTTTTTCTTCCACTTGACAGATATTGGGCACAATAATGTGGAAAGGGGGGGGGATAATATACCTCAGAGGTACCATGTTTTAGAAGTTCACACTGTGGTTCTAATTCTCTTTTGAAAGAATTGACCACAGTACTTTAATGCTTTACTGCAGGGGGGAGGGGAACCTAAACTGTTCCCTACTTTATCAAATGTTGACTGACTTTTTTTTTTTAGTTTTGTTACGGAATGGTTCTTTTTCCTGTTTACATTTGGGATGCTTCTGTAAATATTATAGTTTTAATAAGCAACATTAAACAATGCGAGTAGGGATGGATTTTATATGATACATCATGTTTTCATGTAACAAAGCAAATTTTTGTTGAAAAAAAACCTGGGGATTGATGTACAAAAGAAGGGAACCTGTTGTGGTAGCCTTCATTCATTATGTAGCTTTTAAAACTGAATTTTGGCTATCCTCTAGTCCTAAAAGTTTCACTGCAGTCCTAATATTGTATTTACTATACAGTGATACATCCCCCTACCTGGACACTCAAATCAGTTTACACTGTTACTGCAAGTACATTTATGCTATCAAATTTAACTATCTACGCTTTGAGCCAAAGTAAGAGGACTAATTATAAAAATTGCATAAACTTACTCCCTGTTCCGCAGACAACCTGATGATACATAATGTTGTGAGTATCTGCACTGATGTGAGGCTTTTCAAAACTTGCTACACCTCAATGCAATTAGTTTCCTCTGCACCATGGCTTAGTCATGCTACAGTGCTGCTGCAACATCACAACTCTATTTGTGAACCCTATGGATGATCATATTGTGCTGGGTTTTAGGTTTTAGGTTTGGCCATAATGATGATCTGGTAGTCTGACTAGGGAGAACCACAAGCAATAATTCCCTTTCATGCCCCTACCCTCCCAATTTTACCTGAATCTTTTTCTCTGACTCTCTCTGCCAGTTTGCATATTAAGTTTCACACACCCTCCAAGACTTAAAAACTATTCTGAAAATTAAACATGGCAACTGAAAAATCAGCAAGTAAAATTATTGGAGGAACAAGGACATTCATGTATATTTGGAACAGGACTGTTGCAGCTAGCAATTTATTATATTAAGACATTTTTGTACAAATGATGTCATTTCTTGATTACATAGAAGACTAACATGCATATAACTTTGAGTATCAAACTGAAAAAAATGCTTCTCATTTGTTGGGCTCATGTATTTTTTGTTTGGTTCTTTGCATCCTGAAGTACCTTCACATTAAGTTTTTCAAATTCTGATTTACAGAAAAGCAAATACAATTTCTATCATGGAACATTGAGGGAAATTAATTTCTACTTTATTTCCATATTTAATGCCAATAGGTGTGACGGGGAAAAAAATATTAAAAATTATATCACAGCCCAATTTTACATAGGGACAGTTGATTTTCTTGCCATAATAATGGAATAAGTAGTAAAGTTTCTTTTCAGTTGCAGGAAGTATTATAATGCAGATATAACATAAAATTAATTACCAAATAACATTAACCTCTTTAATCAGCAAAGAAAGATAGCTTCTGTAGCTGCTCAGCATGTTAACTAGTAAGACATATATGCGGTATATAATTACGTAGTGTGAGAATCAAACTATATACTGCTGTACAGGATTTATTATTAATATTATTCATCCTGTTACAAATCTACTGGTATTGATTGACCAAAATACTTTTAAAGTCAATGCACTTTCTGAAAGTAAGTGTAATAGGGCAGCAATCATTTGTGTGGATAATAATGTGCAATATTATCGGTTCAAAGCCATCACATTATTTTTTTAAAAAAATATGTAGCAGTTTTAATGTAAAAACGTACAGTTGATTTCCACTTCTTAAGCTTTATTGTTCCAACTAAAGTGCCATTTTTACTTTTTTTGGGAGCCACCATTGATGGTAAAAGTCTGTAATGTCATCTAACCCTGAAATCCTTTCCCAAAACACACTGTAAGTTATTATTCCTCTTTATGACGCTGTGCACTGCCATGACTTGCCTTGCATCATCCAACAGATGATAGTTAAATTCTTAGCCCTGTTCAAGACCTTTTGAAGAGTGCATTTTGTGAAACTTTTTAATTTCCTAAGAGTAAACTCATAAAACTAAAAGTGGTTACCTGGTATGACTATCTCTAATGCAGTACTTCATATTTGTTTGTTTTGTCAGTTGTTTGGTAGGACTATCAGTCCTTTATTGTCCCAGCCCACCTTATATCTTCCACATACAGTATATCATGAACATACCATGAATCATTTTCTCACTATTATGTTTACATGAAGATATTTGGAATAGCAAATAATTTGTTTGCTTTAAAAGGGTGTGCTTTTTTTGTTGTTGTTCTTTTGTTTTGTGTTTGGGGGTTTTTTGTGGGTTTTTTTTTTGGTTAATATAACAAGTATTCCAAGACTGTATGTCATTGGGCTCAAATATCCTTTTCAGAAATGCTGTGTTGGGCATTCAGCAATCCAATTTCAATAATATACCAGCTTGTTCCCAAAAATGTGCCAGTCTTTAAAAAAAATACAAGGGAATTATTTCACTTATTCTTTCTAATCATTATATTTAGTTTGTGAAGCTTATATGGGCTCATATGTGGCATTTCCCCTCCTCTTTTCACTGCCAGCCCTCCAGTGTATACTGCATCAAGGTGCCATTTGGGGTAAATTGGACTCTGACCTGCTCACATGTAACCTTAAGCTATAATAGTCTAATTTTGAGTTCCCATATTGTGTGTACTTAACTATTGTGATTTATTTAATAAATCATAGGCCAGTGATCCATGGCTTAATTTAATGTCTGTGAAGTTAATATTTTCCTATAGTCATCTTTGTCTGCTTCTATAAATTGAATGAAAAATGAACATTTAAAAAATTATGCCCACCCCCTTTCCATCCTTTAGAGGCAATTAATTGTGCATAATCTCCTCAAACGCAGTGACTCATTTTTATCAATTTCATTTTTTTTAAAGAGAGTTGTAATTTTCTCATTGGGGTTATTATTTAAAAGAGCACAACGTTTCTATAGTTCTATAACTTAGAGGTAATCAGGTTGTATGTACAAGCTGCACTAATGTATCTTTTTTGTAAAGTGATGTAAGTAGACAAGAAGATTGTATATCCCTTAGAATTGCTAAGTATAAAAGAAACATTGTTTTATATCTTTAAAGCGGCAAAGTCGAGTTTTACAGAAAACTGCCAAAGTATAAAGTTTCAGATTGATTGCCATTTTAAAAATTATTGCTAAAACCCTGAAATTATTTACAATGGTGTGAATACCTTCAGATTATCTTTTTTAGAATTTACTAGCAACGTCACACAAGCAACTTTGGGATTCCCTTTTATCCTTCCAGAAATAACTGAATTAATGCTGATCACTGTGTATATAGTTTAACAATAAAGTAACTCTATTTTTTTTAAGTGTCTTTTCCAAAGTAGACAGCATTTAAATTTCCATTGCTTTTTAGCAAAAAAGCTAAATCAACCACATTGATATGCACAATGTGGCTATTCAAATACTTAATTTACAAAACCCTGGAAATTCTTAATTTAAGTGCCATGTGTGTTGTATGACAGCTTTATAATCCCAAATGACACTGTTGGTAAAGTGAACTGATCATGCAGTCATTTTGTTATAATGTTTTTGTTTGTGCATATTCCACTTAGTCTTTTTCCACCTTTATAGAAATATCTGGTTACAAGAGATCAAAATGCTTAATTTTTAAGAACTATATTTGTAAAAAAAATCAATTGTGAATAAAGTCTTTTAGTAAATGCTTTTGTTTGGCAAAGTGTGTTCATGTATGTATGGTTATTGAAGAGGCACAAATAACAAATCTGCAATAAATGGAGGAAGATTTGAGCTGATTACATGGAAGATAATATGCCTGGTATGAAAGATCTATTTTGGCACTAGATAAGGATCTAGTGAATTCAAGAGAGGTTGGACTTAGTTTTGTGGTTACATAGAGAGGCTAGGCTGATTCCTCGTTTGACTCCACCCCACTGCTCCTACCCAAAACTAGGTTTGCTGGTTGATTGTTTTACTAGAACACATAAAAATGAACATATAAACTTCCTAATCCATGTCAGGCAGTCCACAATGTACAATAAATAATGTAAATAAATATATTTCACTGCATTCGTCCAGAATCTAAGAATAGGTTTTCTCAAGTATACTACCTGAAAAATTTCATTTCACAATTTACATCCAGAATATATATTGCATTGTTGAACTATTTAATCGCTCTGGGATTAAATTGCCTTATATTGCTTATGACGGATGACTTGGTTCAGTGACATTTAAAATTTTGTGAACAAGCTATGGATGCATTCACAAAATGGAATGGAAATTATGATTATTATAATGAAAACTACCAGAAGGTAAATTCATGACATTCACATCTAGCTATCCAAGCACCTCAATTTTCATTTTCTTCTCCACCTCCTTTTTTGGGGGCATTGTTTCTAAACAAAACAACGGTGGAGCCATTTGCTTTTTAATTTTTCTAATAACCCCGCAAGACAACAGAATCCACAACACAGCTCAATGACTCCAAAATATCTGCACACAAACTATATATTTGTGTGGTTCAACTACGTAAATCATAGAATTGGCACAATAAATATTGGTGCATAGGTATTATCCCTCTACCCCAATGGATGTTTTTTGCTGTGGCTCAAAGATGCTAATCTAATATGGTGCTTGGCAAAGCTGCTTTGATTTTCAGCCTACTAGCTTGTGTGTGTGTGTGTGTGTGTATACTTGAAATATTTAAAGTAAATATATAATTAAAAGAGCCAAAAGATGGAGGCCTCCTGAAGATGCTCCATGCAACAAGTCCATTGGGTTGTTCAGTATAGAGTGACAATCCAGCATTCTGTTTCCAACAATTGTACATTTATTAGCTGATGCTTTGTTTGTTGTTTAAATATTTGTGATGGTTCTGTGGAATTAACCGTGGAAATGAAAGGGAATTTGAAAAATGTTGCAGACAGGAATCAGATTTATTTGCTCAAAAATTCTGAAGCTATGGGAAATAAATACCAACATAATATATACCAATTTTATAAAGTGTTCCTACATTAATTTTTCCTCCCATCAAATCAAGTACTTGCAAGTAGTTATTTGCTTATCTCAGACCCAGAATCAGTTCTACCATTAAATATGGTAAAGTAGTGGAAGAGTGAGCTGTGCCAAACATAACTTACCTTCTCTCCTCACCACATTAGGCCTCTGTTCCAAAAGTAGAAAAATTTGTTCCTTCATCAGTACACAAACAAAATTAATAGTCACTCTTGTTGGTTTTTGTAGGAGACAGAAAGCTATCTTCATTACTTCTAGTAGGGAAGGAAGTGAGCTGCTGAAGCAAAGTATTTGCAACTTAGAAATTCACTTAATAGTGACATTCTTGAAGTTCAGAAAGGTTCTTCAATATATTTATTTCCAATAATCAGATTGTAGAAACACAAATTAAGTTTTAATTAACTTTTTATGTTTTACCTGAACATGTAAACTATAAGCCACCCAGAGTTACCATATGGTAAGATGGGTGACCAATACATTTTTACCTAAAATATGCAAGAGGGGTTAGAGTTAATCCTATTGTGTAGAATGCAGACTACTGAGCAGTACTACAGAAAGATGGAGTTAGATTGATCAGATAATAGCATTTTAAGATAAACTGGAAAGACCATGATATTTAATACAAAGTAGAAATAATAGCTCTTGGTGTGCTCCTGTGTAGAAGGGACAATAGAACATAACATGTTCCATTGGTTCAATAATTTTCCCATCGCACGGGCATAGCCTTTTTTGGAGGGGATTTTTTTTTGTATCTTCCTTTGGTAATAGCTGTTGGAAAGCATCAAATCTGACTAAAGAAAGGGCATTTCTGAATTTTGGAATCATTATGCAACTGAAATATCTGGCTGGTTGGAGAGAATGTGCAGAGTGGCTTAAGAAGGTATTTCTGGGAAGACTAAGAAATCAACTTGCAGCTCTAAATCAGTGGCCCCACTGTCTGAAATTAGTTAGAGCATGTTCATAGATCATCAAGGTGATTGTTGGCTATGAATAGCCATAGAGTTGCAGTTTAAATTATATTGCCTGGCTCCAGGAGCACAGGAAGCTGTCAGTCATCATTAGAAAGGTCAGATTAACTGGAAAGAAACGGATGTTAAGCCAATGGGAGAAGATGTGAATCCAGGCAGACGTTTCAATTTTAAGAAGGCCAACTTCACAGCAAAGGTCTGTGCTCAAACACAGGGATGTAGTTGAAAGCTAGTTCTCAGAAATTTGGACTGAAGTCTTTCCAAGAGAAGAAATGACTTGAAGGGGCCCAACTGAGCTTCAAAAAGGAGCTGGACTTGAGTCTTAGTTGAGAAGACTTTAATTGCTGCAGGTATATGCTGAACACCCATTGGAGAAGTAAAAGGATTGTAAGGATACATTGCATATAGAGTGAGGTAGTCAACATATTTGCATTTACCTGTAGCTTGGAAGACAATCCTCAGATATTTGAAGGTCTTGACTTATCAGGAAGTCCTATACTGAAAAGTGTTTTGCCTAAAATCTTAAGCAGAGATTACAGAAGGATTTTTTAGTAAAGAAGGGACAATGTCATACTATCTTTACAGGTCATATACTAATGGATGGAGCTGAGTAGTAGCCAATCTAAGTAGCTAAAAATCAATCACTGAAAGTTAATGTCTTCGTTATAAATGATGAATACAATACTGTAATATTAAAATCCTTGGGAAAAGTAAAGTTTTGTTTCTAGCATGTAGTGGCCTTCAACATAGTGATTAGTGGAACTTAATAAAGATTGTGAACCTCCAACATATAACAAAATTCACAACTTTCCTCCACCTCTTGCAGATGCATTAATAGAAGTCAGAAATGTGCAATTTCTCCCTCGTTAATGGTGAAGCTTGGCCTGTGGCATGCAGGGAAGCTGTAAATAAAGCCAGGGAAGGGGGGGGGGGGTGGAATCAAAATTCAGTTTTGTCTCATTTCATTTAAATGAAATGTAACCGCAATTAAACACAGTTAATATGACTAGTTATGCATGTTTAATCATTGTCCCCTGCTATTCAATTAAAAAAAATTGTAATGTGAGGGTGGGGGCCGTATGTGGCCTTGCAGCCTTACATTTTGCATTTCTGTGTTAGATAATATCAGCCAATAGATTTACCTTCCAAAAAAGCTGAAAAAAGAATGATCATTATCATAATTAGTAATAAAATGAAACAATTAAAATCTGCCTGTTTGATAAATGCAGCACTCAAATATTCTAGCCAAGACAACTGCTCTCCCAAATCACCAAGTAAAGTCATAAGCTAGGTTACTAATTAACATAAATCAGTCAACATTTTCTCTGACCCATAAAATCATTACAAATATGAGAGTGCTATTTACAAGCCTGCCAGCTATTTCAACAGGCTTGCTTCAGTAGAGAACTGCTTATTAAATTCAAAAGCAATAAGATTAACTTCAAATAAAAAGAGCCCTTTACAAACTGTGATGCAGATCTAAATGTTCAAGACTTGTTCATGACCCATGGAATTGGTTGGATGTAGGGGACACAGTGGCCTGGCGGTTAAGACACTGGGATTGTCTAGCAGAAGGTAGGCAGTTTGAGACCCAGGTCCCATATGATGTGGTGAGTTTCCATTAATGCCCAACTCCTGCTAATCTAGCACTCTGAAAGCATTCAAATTACAAGTAGATAATTCCAGGGGTGCAATCTACTTACCTTCACTACTGGTTCACTAATGTGAGTGTACCCCCTCTGTGCATGCTCAAGACCTGCCGCGCATGCACGGAGCATAAAAAACGGACATGGTGATGTCCAGGTGGGAGGGTGGAGCCTGCTAACGAGTGCGCCTGCAAAGGTAAGTAGAAGAGCAAGGGGAACGAATTTGCTGTGCCACACGATTTATCATGCTTTGTAGCTAATATAAATCACACATCACAGTTGTTCATCAGAAATACAGGTTAAAAAATAGCATTTTTTTTACTACTGGTTCGAGCAAACTGGTAGCTTTTTTTTATTACTGGTTCAGGTGAACCTGTCCGAATCAGTGGCATTTCACCCCTGGATAATTCCCACTTCAGTGGGAAGATAACAGTATTCTGTGGATCTCAATGTATAGTCATGCCAGCCACATGTCTACAGAAGCATCTTCAGACAATGCTGGTTCCCTTGGCTAGGGAATGGAGATGAGCACCATCCCCCAGAGACAGACATGACTGGATAGGGGAAACTTTCATCTTTTTTTTATATGGATGGAAATGGATCTTCACATAAAGCATGAATAAATAATAAGAGGTCTGTACATGTGAATGCTATCATAAAACTCCTTTCCAAATCTTTTTCAAAATATAGATACATTATATGCAATATTTTGAAAGCTATAGCCACAGACACACATAGTAAACTCCCTAGCAAGGCATTGTTCCCATATCCCTTTTTCCTTTTTTTGTGAAAGGGGACTCCTGGTTTCTAGGATTTGTATTATAGCAATAGCAATAGCACTTAGACATATAATGCTCCATAGTGCATTAGCCTGCAATACTGCATTCTAACCACTCCATCACCATAGCTCCTATTAGCTCCTATGCTATATGAATGTGTGGTTATGGCTGGGATGAAATCCTCACCCATGAAACTCTGCAGATGAACTTGGGCCAGTCACCATTTTTCATTTTATTCCATTTTACACAGATGTTGAAGAGATAAAAGAACTGCTTTGAAAAAAAATGCACTAAAGA